GGGAGCTGCAGCTGCGCCTGGACATCCGCCACTTCTGCGCCCCCCCGGCCGAGCCACCCATGGACTACGAGGATGACTTTGTGAGTAACTGCCCCAGCAGCTCCAGTGGGCACCGTGGTCCCCCTCCCACCGCCCTCCCCAGCGGTTCTGCAGCTTTCATAGAGGGTGGTTAAGGTCGCTCCTGGGTTTCCCCAACCCTGTGCCTCTCCTGGCCACGTGCCGTGTCCTCGTGCCACCCACAGGTCTCCTTGCTTCTTGAGGGCCGAGCAGTGGCTCCTACACAGCCCTGAACGTGCCCCTCACAAGCACTGAGTGGGGAAAGCCTTTGACTCTGTGACTGAGGCAGCCCCCGAGGGGATTTGTGACTGTCTCTCTTTTGCAGACATGTTTGAAGGAGTCGGATGGCAGCGACACTGAGGACTTCTGCTCCGATCACAGTGAGGACTGTTTGTCAGAAGCGAGCTGGGAGCCTGTTGATAAGAAGGAGACTGAGGTAGGTATCCTGTCACAGCAGCTGTCACGTGGCAGGAGAGAATGTTTCTTCACCACGAGCTTGGGTGGTTACAGCAGCAGAGAGTGGTCTGGAAGCAAGGCAGGGAGTCAGCCACCCTTGTCCTTCAGCACGCTCTCTGCTGCTGTGTATGACAGAAGGGGACCTGTGGGGTGGGCTCGCTCTGAGCTAGCCCCTTGTGCTGCAAAGCCCCACCTCAGCCTGCACTGGGGTCCTGAGACCTCATCGTTGTGTTACAAACTAAAAGCTGATGAGGACTGGTGTCTGCCCTAGGTCACCCGGTGGGTTCCTGACCACATGGCCTCGCATTGCTTTAACTGTGACTGTGAGTTCTGGCTGGCCAAGCGGAGGCACCACTGCAGGTAAGCAATGTCATCACTGTGCTTCCACTCTTCTCCTCAGCCTGCTTCTCAGGAGCCTCACCTGCCTGTCTGCGATGCTTGTACCCTCCTGCTCCCAGGAAAAAGTTTTAGGTCTTGTCTTTATTTGCCAGCACTCATAAATTCCCTACAGGTTTCCATTCTACATGGTTCTTGTTGCTGCTTTTCCAAAATCTTTCATCCTTCTCCTGGGTAGTAACGCCCCTCAGTCCCTTTTCAGTGCTAGCCAGTTCACTTGCACTGGAGACCACGCTGTGTCCCTTCAGAAACATGTTGACAAGTCATAAGCAAGGCTGGCACTTCACCCCTGAGCACTCTGTGCTTGCTCAAGTCTTGCCATGGTGCTCCCAGCTCTCTCTTCACTGGTTTTCTTGCTCCTTGACAGGAACTGTGGGAACGTGTTCTGCGCTGGTTGCTGCCATCTGAAGCTGCCCATCCCTGATCAGCAGTTGTACGACCCCGTCCTCGTTTGTAACTCCTGTTATGACCACATCCAAGTGTCTCGTGCCAGGGAGCTCATGAGCCAACACCTGAAGAAACCCATCGCCACAGCTTCCAGCTGAATGCCAGACAAGGACCTGTCTAAGCCCAGCCTTTTCTCTTGTGGGTTTGAAGGGTGACTCTGCCTCCACTGTAACCGTGAAGGCCGTTGGTGCGACACCTTGAACACCAAGCTGGAATGCACTGTCTGCAGCATCCGGAGCAGAGGAGCTCAGATTAGAGAGTACGGGGTGTGTCCCACCCTGGCACCGCTGGGCCCGTGCGTTGTAGTCTGACAACCTAGGGCTAAGGAGGGCATTGCAGCCTCTTGCTTCTGTGGGCTGGAAAGCAACGTTTTCACAGATACTGCCTGTGCAAAGAACCCCCAAAGCAATAGAAAGGCATGTTTAGAACCAACTCCACCTCCCGAGGCAGGCTGCTGCCCGAGGAGGAGGAGGAGGAGGAGGGTGGACCGCAGGTGGTGCCGGGAGCTTTGGAAGGGCCTCGGCCTGGAGCAGTTCTGTAGATTCTCTTTCCATGAGTGTGATTTGCGATCAGCTTGGTGAACAAGACTCATTAACAGTCACTAATGGATTTTCTCTTGAGTGTGGAAGAGGGATCCATTCTGGCTGAAAGGGGCCGAGCGGATGGTGCCCGTCTCCGCGCCCCGCTAGGATGGGCGAACGCCCTTGGCTGTGCCCCTGCCCCCCAGCGCTGTGGGGAGATGGGAGGTTGGCTTCTCCACGTCTGCTCTGCCCCGTCTGCTTCGTCTGCGGCCGTGTCACAGCCCGGTGCTAACACAGGAATGGCACCCTGATCCTCTCCTGGCATGGAAACAGAACTCGTGTTCCTGTGTGGCTCCTCCTCCCCTTTTCTGCCCTCAGCTCTCCACTTCCTACTGCTCTTTATCCTGAAAACTTGATACCTTGAGGGTATAGGCCATAATGTGTTGTTTTACCTCCTGGAATGTGCTGTCTGGTGTATGTGAGGGTTTCAGTCCAAATGCTGCTATATATTTCTGTGCACTTAATGTAACCCGAAGAAGGGAGAATGAAGCATCGATACCAAATCGGGGGTGGGGAAGGACACTGGCTGTCAGAGACACTACGCTCTGTGCTTTTCACTTTAGGATGTGCAGCCGAGCTACAGTGCTCAGCACGACGTGTGGCGTCTGCTCAGTGGTGGGAATAATCTCTCTGACTTGCCCCAGCGCTACCTAAAATGCCTCTTGAATTTGACTTCTTCTTTTTCTCCTGTACAGTGGTCAAAGTTCAGAGTTGCCAACTTGTAATTGCCTCTCTACTCCTCCTTGAAACTAGAGAGCAGGAATCCCAGCTCGCTCTAAGGAAAAGAGAAATGGGTTTAGAAAGAAAGAAAGGCTCAGAAAGGAAGTGGGCTTCAGGTGGGCTTTTGTTTAATCCCTTGCTAGCTCCCTCTGGGAGTATCCATCCTGCCTGCTTCCTAGAGGAATCTGTGGATATTAGTGAGGAAGAAGAGTCTGAATGTGGGGCATTTCTTTGCAGAAATGCAGGTTTTCTTGCCAGCTAAATGAAACTGTCTGATGTATTCTGAGCTGAGACTTTGTGTGTGTGTGGTAGGGGGTGACCTGTGAGGGCATTTGGTCTGCTAACAAGACGAAGTGCTTCACACTGTTGTGATCTCCCAAACTTTTTGCTCATGGTTTGTCATCTCGGTCAGAGGGATGGAATAAGGACCCTTTCCTGCACTTTGATGTGTCAGCCTCTGGTTTTGTAAATCCCGATAGTGCAAGCAAAGCTCCCATCATCTGAAGGCCCTGTACTTACTTGGACTCTGCTTCTTTTCCACACTGGGAACAACCAATATGGCTTTGGGAAGAGAAGGCACCTTGCTTCAGATTCTCCCCTGCCTTGTACCTTGCAGTCATGGCCAGACATGGAGGAGTGACCCTTGGGCTGGCAGAAGAAGCTGGATTTGTTCCTGTTCTGCACATGTTGGAATGACTGCAAGCAATAAGGAAGCCAGAAACTAGGTACTCCTGGCCCTTCTGTCCAGGCCATTAGTCCAAACTGCTTTTAGCTCTTGTGAGTTTCAGCGTCACAATGTGCTGGCCAAAAACTCTAAAATCAGTTCGATAGCATTGTGACAACCAAAATGTGCTGTACAACTCAATACAGTCGAAATAAAATCTCTATATTAGTGCTGCTGTGTTTGGACCCTGTGGTGAGTTCTTGCCCTGTGTTTCTTGGGCAGCTGTTCCTTGCTCCCTGTCCCCCTCAGGTAACGTGGGTCAGGAACTGAGTGTCCATCTCACAAAGCAGAATCAAGGGTAGGACACAAAGCACACTATGCTGTGGTCTGCTCTGCTCTCTCCTGAACAAACCTGCAGCTGCCCAGGACACCAGCCCCTTCCAGCCTCTCCCCTAATCATAAAATCACAGACTGGCTTGGGTGGGAAGGAAGTCCAACCCCCCTGCAGGGAGCAGGGACATCTGCAGCTAGAGCAGGGTGCTCAGAGCCCAAACCAACCTCCCCTGGAATGGTTCCAGGGATGGGGCAGCGACCACCTCTCTGGGCAGCCTGGGCCAGGGGCTCACCACCCTCATTGTAAAATATTTTTTCCATCTAGTCTAAATCTCCCTTCTTTTAGTTTCAAACCATCACCCCTTGTCTTGTAGCAACAAGCCCTGCTAAAAAATCCATCCCTATCTTTCTTCTGGGCTTCTTTCTGTAGAAGGCCACAATAAGGTCTGCCCAGAGCCTTCTCTCCTCCAGGCTGAACAATGACTGAGGAAATCATCTTTTCCAAGGACGAGCTGCCAGGCAGGATTCACTCACTCTCCACCAGCACTCTTGTATCTCATTTTGCCTGGCAGGCTCAGTGGTTGGGTTCCTCTGCAGGAGGACAGGTGGAGACTCCTGTGCTCGGGGAGCCCAATGTGCCAAGGGTGATGTGGGTAAGTTAATGTTTGTGGTGGAGTTGGAGAGGATCTAGAAAGCCTCAATGTCCTCATTTTAAAGCATCTAGGGATCTTAACATTGAAGTCGTTCAGGTCAGTGCCCATGTCAGGCAGTGCCTAAGTGCTTTGTTGTGTTAGAGATGTGAGGAGCAGGATGGCTTGTCATGTTTCAAAGCGAGCTGTTGCTCCTGGAGCAGTCACACAGGAGAAGGTCATCTTTGGAGGCAGCCTTGCTGAATTAATCATGAACGAGGGAAAGGACAGTCTACTGATTAACTTCCAGGCTCTGGTCTTAAACCCTTCCAGCCTATTTTTGGCAGGTGCTGTCAGGCTGTTGGCTGGACTTGTACGAGCCCTTGGCTTCTCAGCAGCTGGGGCAACACTGCAGCAGGGTCCCCCCAAAGCCTCAGGCTGCCCATGCCCACAGGGGGCACTTGCTGCTCGTGGTCACTGAACGCAGAACAAACCTTTGTCACTTGACTATAACGCTGTAATGTGCCAGCACATCCAGCCTGAGGTCATCTGTTTGTGCACTGAAACGTGTCTAAACCTCACACAAACAGCGAGATCAAAGCCTTCCCCTATCAGGGCACCAACTGCCACGGGTTCTTAGCAAATTAACAGCCAGAGCTGCTTATGATGTACCATAACATCTCACCAGCCACTGAACAAAACAAACAGAGGTAGGTGTAGTGAGAAGCCAGGTCAGGCTTGTGATGGTTGGTATTATTCAGCTGCCAAGGCATTAATAGATAATGCTAAAGCTGCACGGGATGTGAGGAGACATGTTAAGCCTTGGTTATGAAAGGAGAGGAGAGGAACGTGACATGTGGCCTCCTGGTGAACCCAGCGAGGGCTGAGCAGGGAACAGTTTAAAGTCTGAGATGCAGACACAAAAGATGTTGGGCTGTCCAGGGGTGCATTCGGGGTGTTTTCCTACGTTCCATTGTCAGCGTAGCAGTTAAATAGTACTTTTCTCTCCCAAAATGTTAGGCTTCTGTGAAAGTGATGTTTGAGCACTGCCATTTATTTATGGTGCCTTGGGTATCTCTATCTATCTCCTAAGATAAAACTGATAGATAGGACAAATTGTCCTTAGAAGATGCTGGACGGTCTCCAGCATGTTTAAAATAGGGCTAGGGAGATGCTGAGGGGCCTGGAGCATCCCTGTGCCCAGGACAGGCTGGGAGCCCTGGGGCTGCTCAGGCTGGAGAGGGGATCTGATCAATACCTAAAGGGTGGAGGGCAAGAGGCTGGGGCCAGACTCTTGTCAGTGGTGCCCAGCAACAAGACAAGGGGCAACAGGCACCAACTGGAACCCAAGAGGTTCCACCTGAACAGGGAGAAACTCCCCTGAGGGTGGTGGAGCCTGGACCAGGCTGGTGACCCCACTGGGGTGGCCCAGGTGGAGTGGAGCACTCAGGTGAGGTGGCCCCAGATGCAGCTGGAGGGAGTCACAAGCTTCATGTGACCTGAGACAAAGTATTCACTGTGGCAACCACCACTGTGACTGTGAAGTGCTCGCTGTCATCTAGCAGATGTGTTCTTCAAAACCAAGCTAGAAAATTTGATATAGTGGCAAAGAACAAGTTATCTGCACTCATGGTCAAGAAAAAAATGCAGACTTCTTTTCATTTGGTTTTGCAGAAAGGCAATTTAATTTTCTAATGGCTTGCAAGGCACTTGCCAAAGGAAAGTGTTTCATAGAATCATAGATGGACTTGTGGAGGGAGCTCTGGTGCTACCAGAGCCACGGCTGTGTGGGGAGGGAACTCGTGCTGCCTTAGCTCTGCTGCTCACCTCTCCTCAGAGCCAGAGCAGCATCATTCGGGGCAGGGCGAAGGCTGTGGGTCAGTGTGGGGCTGGAGGGTGACAAGGCACGGGCTGAGTGAAGGCTGGGGGCAGATAAAGGCATCAGAGAGAGGGCACAGCAGTAAGGCTGGCTGAAAAGGCTGAGCACTGTTAGCTGGCAACGTCACCTCTAAATCCTGCACTACAGGATTTGGGAAGATTATAGCTTGACAAAGCTACAACATTTCTGGTTAAAAAACACCTCAAAGGGCCCTGTGCTCATGTTTCTGGGCTGTCGTTTCAAGGGCTTTTTCACTTTTAGGGGTTCACTCAGTTACAGACTCCCTATTCCTGGCTCTGACCTGAGTTACGTGTGATAAAAGCTGAGCCATCCCTCCTGCTGCACAGGGAGAGAGGAGAAGCCTTAAATCGTTTCATTCAAGTAATGCAAAGGACAGTCTCAGGAAGGCTGAGAAAATGGTTTTGTGGACTTTCCTTCTGGATTTTTCTGGTTTGTACTCAGTGTGTTTTACTTAAGCTTGAGCTGTTTACACTGAGCAATCGTTACGTAATTCTTAAGAGAATAAATTATTACTGAGGAGATAAAAATACCAAGTCTCTTGGGGAGATGGCGGAAAGGAGGCTGGAGCCAGATGGGGGTCGGGCTCTTCTCCCCAGGAACAAGCCATAGGACAACAGAAAATGGCCTCAAGATGTGCCAGAGGAGGTTTAGGTTGGACATTAGGAAAAATGTCTTCCC